GTTTACCATCACTGACAACGTAGTACTGTATGTGCAAAAGGGTTCATATTTGTTGTCTGTACTTCTCATGCACCTCTCTATCTCTTCCTCTTCTTTAGTGCTATCATGTTGATCACTCACATTTGGTACATTGCCCTTCCTTTCACCTAAATGAAGTTATTTTTTAAATGTAAGATTCCATGTCTTGTCAGGTTTTATGTATTTATTTCAATTTTAAAACAATCACATTTAACCATTTCCAGGAATAAGGTTCATCTTGTTTTTAAAGAAGATATTGTTGTTTGGATAGGAATTTTAAATCCTTTTATAGGAAGTTAAGCATTATGCTTCATCTGAGGAGCACTTCATTAAAATCCCTTTGATAACAATCACATATTGGTATTTTTTTCTGAATACAAAATCTGTTGTTTACAATTTTGTTAGTTACAAAATGATCATCTGTCAATTATGAGGCAAACTATTCCTTCTCTGTACTTAGATATTCATAATTTTTATTTATTTACAGTGATTCATCAAGTGAATATTCTGATTGGACAGCAGATGCTGGAATAAATTTGCAACCTCCAAAGAGACAAACCAGACAGGCAACACGGAAAATATGCAGCAGCTCTGAGGATGAAAATTTAAAGTCACTAGAAGAAAGGCAGAAGAAACCTAAACAGACTAGAAAGAAAGTCTGTAATTTTATGTGATTTTTTTTTGTTTTTCTTTATTTGCCTTTGACGGAAATGTTTAACAATATTTGATTTTTTTCCGTAAAATTAACAGTCCATCTAAGGAACTAAGTAAAAGTGGTTTAAAACTACTTAAAAATGTAAAGAATTTTTAAAATTGATCTCTTATCAAAACTGTATGCTTATTGTAGCAGAGTTATAAAATAATAAGCCAGTTACAGAGTAAAAATGTTAACTCTTTTCATGTCACCAGTCATAAATTTCTATACGTTTTTTAATTTTAAAGTGGATACTAAACCAAACTCACTGCCATCGAGTGGGCATAGTGACCCCTCCTTGGGTTTCCTAGGTGGTATCACTATGGAAGTAGATTGCCCAGTCTTCCTTCTGAGGAGTGGCTGGTGGGTTTGAACCACCAACCTTCTGGTTAGCAGTCAAATGCTTTAGGTACTACGGCAGCAGAGCTCCTTTTAAAGTGGATAGGTATGGCAATTAAATTGTGTAAGCGTTTTCTATTTCTGTTCCATCACAATGAATTTCTTTCCCCCCACTATAATTTTGTTTAGATGATTTAAAAAGTTAATCTACATGTATTTTTATTATTAATTTAAAATTGTATAATCTGCATATCATGTAGCCTGTAGCTTTAGTAGATAAAATTATCTTCTTGATTGATAGCCACCATATTACTGGTAAAATATTCCTGTGTAGCTTGTATTTGAATTTACATATTTTAGGAACATGAACAATAAAATTTGTGGGTCTTAGATGGTATACAGTGTGTCAGCCAAAATTAGCAACATATTAAATAATTTATTTTTATTATTTTAATAGTATAAAATTTGTGCAGAATTGTTAAAGGAAATGCTTGAAAATTGTATATTTTAGGTTTTACTATAACTTGATGTGTATAATATGATGATTCTCTACATGGATTTATTATTTATGTGTTTGTGAACTATATTTTAGAAAGGAAGACTGGTTTCTATGGCAGGTGAGCTCAGTGAAGAATGGTTTGCCCCTCAGTGGATCTTGGATACCATACCAAGACGTTCGCCATTTGTCCCACAGATGGGAGATGAGGTAATTACTGACTGCTCAAACCTTTTTCTCTTGCAGCCTCAAGAGCACTTTAATTAGTTTTAGGCCATTTAATATTGTTAATTCTATTATAGTTTTATATACCATTGGGTTAGCTGATTTGCTCAACTGTTTAATTTTTGTAGACAGTTATTGAGTGTTATTAATCTTTGTATCCTTTCTAGAATCTAACATAGTGTTTTCCATATTTAAAAAAATTCAATTGCCATCATTTAGTTCTGATGCATGGAGACCCTGTGTGCTCCATAGAATCTTCAATGGCTGTGATCTTTTGGAAGTAGATTGCAAGACCTCTCTTCCCAGTCACCTCTAGGTGGACTCGAACCACCAACCTTTAAGTTAGCAGTGAGTGCATTAATCATTTATACCACCCAGAGACTCCTTTAAAGGAATGCAGAAACCAAACTAAATCCACTGCCATTGATTCTGTTCTGACTTATAGTGACCCACATAGTATTTGTGAAGATGTAAATCTTCACAGAAGTAAATTGCTTCATCTTGCCAGAGAGAAGCTGGTGGGTGGGTTTGAACCTCTAGCCTTCTGGTTAGCAGCCAAATGCCTTACCCACTGTACCACCAAAGCCCCTTTTTAAAGAGATAATGGGAGCTTAAAAAGAATACTGTTTTTTATTTGCTTGTACTCTATAAATTTCTACTTGTTCAATATAATAGATGCCCAATTAACATTGAGTTAAATTGATTGGCTGTGAAGTCATGAATGTGATTATCTTTTTTTTATCTTATTTGCCACTTAGGATTGAGTGTTATTTGTGTCCAAATTCAAGTCCTAATCTTGTTTGTTTTTTTAAAAAAAGACTGTTCAATTTGATAGATAATACACTTTGCAATACTTGCAAAGAGCTCTCTGGTGGCACAATGGCTAAGACATTTGGCTGCTAACCAAAAGATGAGCAGTTCCATCCCACAAGCCACACTGTGGGAGAAAGATGAGGCAACTTGTTTCTGTAAAGATTTACAGTCTTGGAAACCCTGTTGAGAAGCTATAATCTGTAGGGTTGCTGTGAATTGGAATTAACTCAATGGCAGTGGGTTTGGTTTTTTTTTTTTCAATGCTTAGGGAAAAATCATTT